TTTTTTTGCACCCTCAAATTCCAGATTTTCAAATAGTTGTATCTCAGCCAAATATGATCCTATCCTAACAAACCATACATCAATGGAGAGCTTATTTATTCAGCTTTTAGATGATGTATAAATCTCAATTTTAAAAAATGGACCCTTATGACTGGTTTTGTGCTCTATGGTCACATGTTGCTCATGACGTCCCGAAGCGGCCGCAGCAGATCTGCGCATGTCCAGCAGAGGGTGAACGCGCTCCTGCTTCAGCTCTGTCTGTCAGACGAAGAAGAAACATCACATGTGAAGTTTCGAGAGTGAAGACAGCACGCTTTATTTTGAGTTAAACCGGCACACAGTGAGCATCTTCCCGCGGAGCAGCAGGATGAGTGTGTCCATGCCGCAGAAGCGCTATTACCGGCAGAGAGCGCACTCCAACCCCATGGCCGACCACAGCTTCCAGTAGTAAGAGCTCTCTCACATGTGCTCTGTGTGTGTGTGTGTGTGTGTGTGTGTGTGAGTGAGATGATGATGATGATTATGTGTGTCGGTAGCCCGGTGTGCCCTGAGCAGATGGACTGGTCTCAGCTGTACCCGGAGTATTTCCGGCCGCTGGGCGGAAGCGGGAAACCGGACAAACACAACGCGCAGGTGGAGTTCGCTGACATCGGCTGCGGATACGGAGGACTTCTGGGTAATCTGTACTTACTTATATAACATATTGGAGAAAATATCTAAACATTTGGTTAATATAAAATTAGAGATGCACCGATTGCAATTTTCTTGGCCGATTTCCATTTTTGTTTTTAAGAGTGACCTGCCGATACCGATTTTTGGCCAGTTCCGATTTCTTTCTAAGAACTATAATTGACAGCATATACAACAAAAAAAAAAAAAAAAATATACTTTTTTCAATGCAAAAAATTACTGACATAATAAAAAGTATTAAACATTACAATTCCCCAATCTGGACTACGTTACAGATATTCTCTATCCACCTTTTTCTTCAACGCGGAAGTAAGCCTACGGGTGAGACTAGCCGCTATAGGTAAATAACGAGGAGAATAACAACGTGCAGTAAACGGTAAAACTGTTTGCACTACAAACCAGTGTGTTCATAATTAAGATAATACATTAAAATAATATGATAAGACACACCAACTTTCAATATCAACGAACGTTTTGTTCAGCTAAAAATAGCTGGATGGAGTGGACACAGATGAGACCGTAAGCCAGACCCATAGAATTTACAAATGGCCGCGCTAGGGCTGCACGATAAATCTAAATGGAATCGAGATCGCGATTCGACAGAAGCTGCGATTGTCATGCGTATCTTTCAGTGAAGCACGGTTCTGTGATCAGCAGTACACACAAAAATCTATACTTTTTTCAATGCAAAAAATTACTGACATAATAAAAAGTATTAAACATTACAATTCCCCAATCTGGACTACGTTACAGATATTCTCTATCCACCTTTTTCTTCAACGCGGAAGTAAGCCTACGGGTGAGACTAGCCGCTATAGGTAAATAACGAGGAGAATAACAACGTGCAGTAAACGGTAAAACTGTTTGCACTATCAGATGGAGCAGCATTTACTTCACAGAGCCGTAGTTCACTGAGAAGCTATGCAAACAGCTGTCATTATCGCGAACGATTTCTTCGATTTCATAATCGCACAATAAAATTGTCTGCGATGGGTTTTTTTTTTTTTGTGTAACTTGTCAGTGAACTACGTCTATGTGTAGTAAATGCTGCTCCATCTGAAAGCACGTGATGATTTCTTGCTGATTACAGAACCGGCATTACTATCAAAATGCGCATGACAATCGCATTCAATTAATCGTGCAGCCCTAGGCCGCGCCCATTTTTACGACAAGAAAAAGGTGGATAAATGCATTTACACTGCAAAATTTCACATGCATAAATAATTTTATAAAATGAATTTTAAATATTTTTTAAACATACAAATAAGAAATGTTGGGGAAAATGCAATGATAGTTTTAAATATGAAACCAAACCAGTAGGTGGCGTCAAATGACTGTTTGAATGAGTGAGTCATTTAGTCCTTCATTCAACAGATTCGTTCAAATGGCCGATTCATTCAGAAACGAGGAAAGTAACTTCTGTCTTTACGAATGGGTTACTGAAACATTGACTCACTTGACAGGGTTTCTGCAGGATTTTTAAGCTTGAATTTAAGACCTTTTTTAAGACCCGCACAAATAAAATTAATACCATATGAGTGGGGCAATGTCTATAGTACCATATTAAACTGTAAAATTACTTCAAAAAGCATAATTTACAGTTCAGATACAAGTTTTCACAAAAACAACAAGTTTTATAAATTGTGTCTAAAATGTAAGTCACTTCATTTTAACTTCTTGTTTTTCAAACTGAACGGTCACTGGTAAGGGCCGGTCATGTGGAAAACCGGCTAATTCCGGACCAGGGCCGGTCGATCGGTGCATCTCTATATAAAATATACAGGCCCATATTTATTTGAGAGTGCTCATCGCCATGGTAACTGAGGCTGAAATCAGACCAATCAGCTGTGAGCAAAGAACACATGACCTCATGCTGCAAATGGCAGGAATATACAGTAGTCAACATTTGAAGTGGATCAAAACCTTTCATTAAAATTGTCCTAAAACCTAAAACCAAAATGCGTTCTTGTCTTAAGACAACTTTGATTAATTGTTTTGATCCACTTCAAATGTTGACTACTGTATATTCATAATGACACGAAAAATATTAATAATACAGACAACAGTGACCGACAATTAGTGTGAGAAAATTTTGTTAATTTTTTTGTACATTTTACCATGATTTACAAATGTCATTCAGTTTGATAATAGTTTGTATAACAAAAAATCTTGTCAGGCATATTTAGAACAAGAATCATTAGATGACATTAAAAAACTCACTGCAGCAGTAAAATACTAATTAATTGTAATTTTAAATCTTTACTAATATTTGACACTATGCTTCAAACCACTAGGTTTTACCCATTTATCAGCAAAAAGTTTTTCAGAATTATAACTCACTTTCTTTTCAAATTTTCAATTTCAGATCAGAATAACTGTGTTGTTTCATAAACATAAATATATCTGTAACACTGACATTATTTCACCCATTTTTACATTTTATTCTTTACAAAAGCTATTTGAAACATTAAAGTAGACACTTTACTTGCATTTAATATGCGTTCTACATGCGTAATTTTATAGTTTTGTTGTCTAATCTTTAAAAGTCTGTTTAAAAAGAATAAGGGCACTGAAGTCGAGTCACTGATTAGATTAGTAGGGCTGTGTGTTTGAATCGTCCAACAAGTTATCATTTCTTCTTAGACAGTTTTCTGAGTTAGTTAGTCCAGGAATATGAACATGATCTGTACCTGTATTTAGATATCCGGTGTCATTTCTTAGTTATACTACGGTATGTTTTATGAAGCGCTTGATAGTTTTAGTCTTGTCATGTTAATGTTTGTGGTGTTGACTGATTATCATTGGTCGATGCAGTTACATCTCAGAGCTGCAAGAGGGCGACATTTACCAGCACTGCCCTTATATAGAGACTCCCAACTGTCCCATAGAGTTCCAGTCAGGATCAATGTGTTTGCATCATCATCATCATCATCACAAGGAAAGCTTGCCTAAACCTCATAGCCTTCAAATGTTAACTCATAGTTTTTTTCATGTTTGTGGAAATGTAAGCATTAAAGTCTCTAAGGCTTGTCATGTCAAATCAAAATAAAACCTTAAATCCCGGCGGCGTTCTGAAGGAATATAATATAAGGGTCATTCTGTGTCAAATCAGCCACATTTCAGAAACTTTCCTGGCTCACATTTTTGATTTTGTAAAAAAAAAATTAAAAAATTAAAAAATTCTAGAGGGGGGTAAAAATGAGAATTTTCACCTGAGATTCAGAGCCAGATTACAGGAGGATAAAAATGATTTCAGAAAGATGGCAGCATCGTTATGATATTTTTACACAGAGATTATAGGTCTATTAGTGAAATCTGTTGACTAGCAATCTTTGTTGCATTATGTGCCAGTGGTGAACATTCAAAAATGGGGAAAAAAAGCACTTTTGAGTATTTTTTTATTTTATTTTTTGCATGCCTGTAACTCAATAAGTAGGCTATTAAAGATATCTTAATTACCTTTTATATTTTTGGGTCTTAACAAACTTTCCTTTTGGTGTCTTCATTTTTAAGGCCCTATATGGTTCATTTTTGAGATCTCAATATGGCTCCAGGAGTAAACTGTTAAATTGAACACATTTTCAGTGGTCAAAAAGCAAATGTGGGTCACTTTGCAAAAATATGATCATTCTTTTCTTTTAAAGAGGAATGTCTGAAGAACAAATAATGTTGAAACTAGAAATGTATATAACTAGAAAACAATTGCATACAAAATACCTATCTGAGAGTCATTTTCCCATTTCTGATTGGTCACCACTGGCACGTAATGCAACAAAGATTGCTAAAATCAACAGATTTTGTTCACTGTGTGAAAGTAACGCAACGATGCTGCCATCTTTCTGAAGTCTTTTTTTTTATCCTCCTGTAATCTGGCTTTGAATCTCAGGTGAAAATTGCTGTTTTGACCCCCCCTCTACTAAATAGTGGAGTACTTAGTAAATTTTCATCCATGACATTTAATTTTTTTTTTCTTTCACCAGAAAGAGAAACAGCACCTCCTATTGAGGGACCTCTGGTAACTCTGGCCGAGTTTGTAAGGAATGACCCATAGCTGTATCTCAATACATATTACTTGTGTTAATTAATGTAGCTAGAGACGAGGACACGATATGTTGTAAGCACAAACACATCCTCCTCCTGTTGAGACGAGTGCTTCATCGATCTGTGCCGATAGCAGGTCCTCACTCATCAAAGCCTTTCATGCACAAAACACATTTACACGCCTTTGGACTCATGATGCAGTCATGATCTTAACAGGCATGTCTGTGATCGGTCACGGTGCTTAAAGGGTTAGTTCACCCAAAAATGAAAATTAGCCCATAAATTACTCACCCTCAAGCCATCCTAGGTGTATATAACTTTCTTCTTTCAGACGAATCCAGTCGGAGTTATATTAAAAATTGTCTTTGATCTTTCAAGCTGTTTAATGCCACTCAGCGAGTGTTGCATGCATCAGTCCAAGAGCAGTTAAATAAAAAGCGCCCATCCATTAAAAAGAAGTGTCTCACATGGCTCCGGGGGGTGAACAAAGGCCTCCTGTAGCGAATCGATGTGTTTTTGTAAGAAAAATATCAATATAACTCCGACTGGATTTGTCTGAAAGAAGAAAGTCATATATACCTAGGATGACTTGAGGGTGAGTAATTTATGGGCTAATTTTCATTTTTGGGTGAACTAACCCTTTAATAATGCATTGGAGGACGGCGTCACACTGTCTGATCACATGATGTTATTACTCATATCAGAGAGTTGAGTTATCATGGGCTCCTTCATCTCCACCACTGCTGCCTCTCACAGTTTTTCTCTCCAGTGCCAGGGCAGTTGTGACCTTTTGCTACTGATGTTGAAGCAAGCGGTTTTGTGTTGCGAAAAGCGCTCTACAAATAAACAACTTGGGGCCAGTTTTACTAAACGGGGCAAATTAGCGCGAGAGCGCAATTCCAAAACAGCGCCGATGGGTGTGGAAATTTCTGCTGAGGATTTACTGACAACACGCAAATTAAAGAACACAGACGCAACATCTCGTATCGACCAACGCAATATACCAAGCACAGTGCAAATGAGTGTAGTCGCAAATAAAGACTGAAGAAATAAAGAAGCCACAGTATGTTGAAAAGAACCGGAGGCCAGAATATGAAGGGTTGCAAGTTTTGATAGACCTGGTATTTATAAGTACTAATACACAGCCAATGCGCTAGTAATATGCATACTGATGAGCAACTAGTTAACAGTGAATAGTGCTCTCTAAGGCTGATGATACACAGGGCAACTTTTTAAGCATTTTTGCCGGGCAACTTTTTTTGAGCAATGTTGCTTGGGCACTTTCCCATTGAGAATGGGTAACAGATTTCTATCTGGATACTTTAGATCAGTCGTGGGCGCTGTGTCTCACCTGGTTGCCCGTTGACGGCAACATTATCCAAAGTTGCCCCATGTATCATCAGCCTAAAATAAAGTGTTACTGAATCTCTCTCTCTCTCTCTCATAGTTGAGTTGTCGAAGCTGTTCCCCGAGCAGCTGATCCTGGGTCTGGAGATCCGGGTGAAGGTCTCAGACTATGTCCAGGACCGCATTCGCTCTCTGCGAACGGCTGAGCCGGGCAGCTACCAGAACATCGCCTGCCTGCGCAGCAACGCCATGAAGTACCTGCCCAACTTCTTCACCAAGGGACAGGTCGGGGATGGCATTTTATTGCTTGTAGTGTTTATTAGCTACTGTGTGATGTTTGTAAGAGACCTGCTGTGGAGCTTAGAATGAGAGGTTTCCCTTCTTTCTCATGAGCAGGGGGTTAAATTGGGCCGGCGCACTAGGCTTGCCGTGATAGACGGTGCTGACGGTGATACCGGTGTGCGAGACAGACAAGAAGAGCGGGGCGAGACAGACAAGAAGAGCGGGGCGAGACAGACAAGAAGAGACAGACAAGAAGAGCGAGACAGACAAGAAGAGTGGGGCGAGACAGACAAGAAGAGTGGGGCGAGACAGACAAGACGAGTGAGGCGAGACAGACAAGACGAGTGAGGCGAGACTGACAAGACGAGTGAGGCGAGACTGACAAGACGAGTGAGGCGAGACTGACAAGACGAGTGAGGCGAGACTGACAAGACGAGTGAGGCGAGACTGACAAGACGAGTGAGGCGAGACTGACAAGACGAGTGAGGCGAGACTGACAAGACGAGTGAGGCGAGACTGACAAGACGAGTGAGGCGAGACTGACAAGACGAGTGAGGCGAGACTGACAAGACGAGTGAGGCGAGACTGACAAGACGAGTGAGGCGAGACTGACAAGACGAGTGAGGCGAGACTGACAAGACGAGTGAGGCGAGACTGACAAGACGAGTGAGGCGAGACTGACAAGACGAGTGAGGCGAGACTGACAAGACGAGTGAGGCGAGACTGACAAGACGAGTGAGGCGAGACTGACAAGACGAGTGAGGCGAGACTGACAAGACGAGTGAGGCGAGACTGACAAGACGAGTGAGGCGAGACTGACAAGACGAGTGAGGCGAGACTGACAAGACGAGTGAGGCGAGACTGACAAGACGAGTGAGGCGAGACTGACAAGACGAGTGAGGCGAGACTGACAAGACGAGTGAGGCGAGACTGACAAGACGAGTGAGGCGAGACTGACAAGACGAGTGAGGCGAGACTGACAAGACGAGTGAGGCGAGACTGACAAGACGAGTGAGGCGAGACTGACAAGACGAGTGAGGCGAGACTGACAAGACGAGTGAGGCGAGACTGACAAGACGAGTGAGGCGAGACTGACAAGACGAGTGAGGCGAGACTGACAAGACGAGTGAGGCGAGACTGACAAGACGAGTGAGGCGAGACTGACAAGACGAGTGAGGCGAGACTGACAAGACGAGTGAGGCGAGACTGACAAGACGAGTGAGGCGAGACTGACAAGACGAGTGAGGCGAGACTGACAAGACGAGTGAGGCGAGACTGACAAGACGAGTGAGGCGAGACTGACAAGACGAGTGAGGCGAGACTGACAAGACGAGTGAGGCGAGACTGACAAGACGAGTGAGGCGAGACTGACAAGACGAGTGAGGCGAGACTGACAAGACGAGTGAGGCGAGACTGACAAGACGAGTGAGGCGAGACTGACAAGACGAGTGAGGCGAGACTGACAAGACGAGTGAGGCGAGACTGACAAGACGAGTGAGGCGAGACTGACAAGACGAGTGAGGCGAGACTGACAAGACGAGTGAGGCGAGACTGACAAGACGAGTGAGGCGAGACTGACAAGACGAGTGAGGCGAGACTGACAAGACGAGTGAGGCGAGACTGACAAGACGAGTGAGGCGAGACTGACAAGACGAGTGAGGCGAGACTGACAAGACGAGTGAGGCGAGACTGACAAGACGAGTGAGGCGAGACTGACAAGACGAGTGAGGCGAGACTGACAAGACGAGTGAGGCGAGACTGACAAGACGAGTGAGGCGAGACTGACAAGACGAGTGAGGCGAGACTGACAAGACGAGTGAGGCGAGACTGACAAGACGAGTGAGGCGAGACTGACAAGACGAGTGAGGCGAGACTGACAAGACGAGTGAGGCGAGACTGACAAGACGAGTGAGGCGAGACTGACAAGACGAGTGAGGCGAGACTGACAAGACGAGTGAGGCGAGACTGACAAGACGAGTGAGGCGAGACTGACAAGACGAGTGAGGCGAGACTGACAAGACGAGTGAGGCGAGACTGACAAGACGAGTGAGGCGAGACTGACAAGACGAGTGAGGCGAGACTGACAAGACGAGTGAGGCGAGACTGACAAGACGAGTGAGGCGAGACTGACAAGACGAGTGAGGCGAGACAGACAAGAAGAGTGAGGTGAGGCGAGACAGACAAGAAGAGTGAGGCGAGACAGACAAGAAGAGTGGGGCGAGACAGACAAGAAGAGTGGGGCGAGACAGACAAAAAGAGTGGGGCAAGAGACAAGAAGAGTGGGGCGAGACAGACAAGAAGAGTGGGGCGAGACAGACAGACAAGAAGAGTGGGGTGAGACAGACAAGAAGAGTGAGGGGAGGCGAGACTGACAAGAAGAGGGAGGTGAGGCGAGACAGACAAGACCAGTCAGGCGAGACTGACAAGACGAGTGAGGTGAGGCGAGACAGACAAGACCAGTCAGGCGAGACTGACAAGACGAGTGAGGTGAGGCGAGACAGACAAGACCAGTCAGGCGAGACTGACAAGACGAGTGAGGTGAGGCGAGACAGACAAGACCAGTCAGGCGAGACTGACAAGACGAGTGAGGTGAGGCGAGACAGACAAGACCAGTCAGGCGAGACTGACAAGACGAGTGAGGTGAGGCGAGACAGACAAGACCAGTCAGGCGAGACTGACAAGACGAGTGAGGTGAGGCGAGACAGACAAGACCAGTCAGGCGAGACTGACAAGACGAGTGAGGTGAGGCGAGACAGACAAGACCAGTCAGGCGAGACTGACAAGACGAGTGAGGTGAGGCGAGACAGACAAGACCAGTCAGGCGAGACTGACAAGACGAGTGAGGTGAGGCGAGACAGACAAGACCAGTCAGGCGAGACTGACAAGACGAGTGAGGTGAGGCGAGACAGACAAGACCAGTCAGGCGAGACTGACAAGACGAGTGAGGTGAGGCGAGACAGACAAGACCAGTCAGGCGAGACTGACAAGACGAGTGAGGTGAGGCGAGACAGACAAGACCAGTCAGGCGAGACTGACAAGACGAGTGAGGTGAGGCGAGACAGACAAGACCAGTCAGGCGAGACTGACAAGACGAGTGAGGTGAGGCGAGACAGACAAGACCAGTCAGGCGAGACTGACAAGACGAGTGAGGTGAGGCGAGACAGACAAGACCAGTCAGGCGAGACTGACAAGACGAGTGAGGTGAGGCGAGACAGACAAGACCAGTCAGGCGAGACTGACAAGACGAGTGAGGTGAGGCGAGACAGACAAGACCAGTCAGGCGAGACTGACAAGACGAGTGAGGTGAGGCGAGACAGACAAGACCAGTCAGGCGAGACTGACAAGACGAGTGAGGTGAGGCGAGACAGACAAGACCAGTCAGGCGAGACTGACAAGACGAGTGAGGTGAGGCGAGACAGACAAGACCAGTCAGGCGAGACTGACAAGACGAGTGAGGTGAGGCGAGACAGACAAGACCAGTCAGGCGAGACTGACAAGACGAGTGAGGTGAGGCGAGACAGACAAGACCAGTCAGGCGAGACTGACAAGACGAGTGAGGTGAGGCGAGACAGACAAGACCAGTCAGGCGAGACTGACAAGACGAGTGAGGTGAGGCGAGACAGACAAGACCAGTCAGGCGAGACTGACAAGACGAGTGAGGTGAGGCGAGACAGACAAGACCAGTCAGGCGAGACTGACAAGACGAGTGAGGTGAGGCGAGACAGACAAGACCAGTCAGGCGAGACTGACAAGACGAGTGAGGTGAGGCGAGACAGACAAGACCAGTCAGGCGAGACTGACAAGACGAGTGAGGTGAGGCGAGACAGACAAGACCAGTCAGGCGAGACTGACAAGACGAGTGAGGTGAGGCGAGACAGACAAGACCAGTCAGGCGAGACTGACAAGACGAGTGAGGTGAGGCGAGACAGACAAGACCAGTCAGGCGAGACTGACAAGACGAGTGAGGTGAGGCGAGACAGACAAGACCAGTCAGGCGAGACTGACAAGACGAGTGAGGTGAGGCGAGACAGACAAGACCAGTCAGGCGAGACTGACAAGACGAGTGAGGTGAGGCGAGACAGACAAGACCAGTCAGGCGAGACTGACAAGACGAGTGAGGTGAGGCGAGACAGACAAGACCAGTCAGGCGAGACTGACAAGACGAGTGAGGTGAGGCGAGACAGACAAGACCAGTCAGGCGAGACTGACAAGACGAGTGAGGTGAGGCGAGACAGACAAGACCAGTCAGGCGAGACTGACAAGACGAGTGAGGTGAGGCGAGACAGACAAGACCAGTCAGGCGAGACTGACAAGACGAGTGAGGTGAGGCGAGACAGACAAGACCAGTCAGGCGAGACTGACAAGACGAGTGAGGTGAGGCGAGACAGACAAGACCAGTCAGGCGAGACTGACAAGACGAGTGAGGTGAGGCGAGACAGACAAGACCAGTCAGGCGAGACTGACAAGACGAGTGAGGTGAGGCGAGACAGACAAGACCAGTCAGGCGAGACTGACAAGACGAGTGAGGTGAGGCGAGACAGACAAGACCAGTCAGGCGAGACTGACAAGACGAGTGAGGTGAGGCGAGACAGACAAGACCAGTCAGGCGAGACTGACAAGACGAGTGAGGTGAGGCGAGACAGACAAGACCAGTCAGGCGAGACTGACAAGACGAGTGAGGTGAGGCGAGACAGACAAGACCAGTCAGGCGAGACTGACAAGACGAGTGAGGTGAGGCGAGACAGACAAGACCAGTCAGGCGAGACTGACAAGACGAGTGAGGTGAGGCGAGACAGACAAGACCAGTCAGGCGAGACTGACAAGACGAGTGAGGTGAGGCGAGACAGACAAGACCAGTCAGGCGAGACTGACAAGACGAGTGAGGTGAGGCGAGACAGACAAGACCAGTCAGGCGAGACTGACAAGACGAGTGAGGTGAGGCGAGACAGACAAGACCAGTCAGGCGAGACTGACAAGACGAGTGAGGTGAGGCGAGACAGACAAGACCAGTCAGGCGAGACTGACAAGACGAGTGAGGTGAGGCGAGACAGACAAGACCAGTCAGGCGAGACTGACAAGACGAGTGAGGCGAGACAGACAAG